AGTCTTCCAAATGGAGGAGAACTATCCCATAAAGGATGTTCTCTCCTCTTTAGAATCTAAGTTAGCTAGTTATGTATCCCTTTTCAAATGTTTCTTTGAATTACAACTCAATAAATTTGAATTACAATTGATAAAAATTAAATCTAGAGTCAACACCTGCAGGGTTATCTTAAGCAGTTATAATTTTATCATTTCAAGTAGTTATATATATTGAAATTAAAATGCTCAAACCAGCCACACTTGGTCGTACTCTTTTAATTTAAAATAAGGATATAGCATTTTAAAGCACTTGTAGCCATTTAATATTTATAATTTTGCCCCCTTTATTTTCAAATGCCTTGTATGAGCACAGCCATAATATACTCAGTAGATTTTTGTAATCTTCAGCTTATTTTCATCCTGATGATGTCCTCTACAAGTTTTCTAAAGACATTAAGAGCTTTTAATGGCTGGATCAAATTTTACTACAGTAATTTTCATTTCTCTCTCTTTCTCTCTCTCTTCTCAAATTTGTGCTCTTAAACTTTTCAATAACCATTTAAATGGCTGGGGGGTCTTTATTTATAGATGGAGATGTTAGCTTATCCTTATAATGAGTTGGAGGCTATTGGAATTGAAAATTTTGGATGATAGAGAGTAGAGCCAAATCTTTGAGTGAAGAGTGAGATTATTTCACTCCTAATAATCACTTGCTTTGATTAAAAAGAGATATAATTTCTAGGCTGTTGCTAAATAACCCTCCTATCCTCCCAAATGCATGAGGATTTGGATTTATTATGAGGATTTGGCTTGCCAAGGTGGCAAAGCCATATAAGCATGCAAGTTAATATGTTTGATTACTTTGATTAGTCAAACTAGTCAATGGGATGATGTGGAAAAGGGGAAGACTTGATGAGTTGGTTTGGAATGGTTATCAAGCTATGGATTTAAAGTTTGATTTTAAAATGGTTTAAGTAGATTTTAAATGGGTTATAAATGGGTTTGAAGTTGGTTTGACTTTAACCAAGTCAAAATGAATTGAGTTGGTCAAATGAACCAAGGTTTGATTTAAAAATGGGTTTATATATGTTTGAACCATAGCTTGAAATATGATTGAGGGTTTGAAGATGTTGGTTTAATTTGTTTATATGGATGATTTGACCTATTTAACCCTTAAAAGGGCAATTTAGTTCAAAATGCCTGTTCACACCCTTAAGGTGTATTTGGTCATTTTAGATTTACCTAGTCAATCAAGTTTGACCAGGGTCTGGGTTTGTGTCCTATGCACTTCTAATAATGATTAGAGTGAATTGAAGAGTTTGAAGGGTTTGATTTAAAAGAGCTATGTAGGAGCCTAGAGAAAACTCCAAAATTACCCTTTAGGGGTATTTTTGTCCTTTTGACCCCTGATTAACTAGGGGTCGAAGTGGGTCCACCATAATACAGTTTAATATTCAACAATCAAGGGTTTGGATGTAATCTGAGGGTTTGGAGAAGGTTCCAAGGTCAAAATTCACTAGGTGGTACGTCTAGTGGTATATGCCATAAATATTTAATGGTTTTATATCATTTGGGTTTCTAATTAATTTATGGTGTTAGAGACCTCATAATGTGTTCAAATTTGGAGGGTAGACCTAAGACATACCTAATTAATATGTAATTGATAGATCATGAGTTGGTGGTCACTTAATTGGGTTTTGAAGTGTTTGAAAAATCACTCGGAAAAGCTTTCAAGATATGACCTTTAACCCTTAGATTTTGGTTTGGAAATCTGAATTAAACTAGATTTTGGATTTGATTCTCTAAATTTGAATTATCCACATCACTCATATAATGGCCTAAATATTCACTTTAACTAGGCCCATACTTAGAAAGGTGGATTAGAACATAACATCCACCAAGATCCAATTGTCAATAAAAAATTTTATGATGTTATACATGGTTCACCAATCTTTGCGCAAATCACAACTCAATTTTGATGAGAGGTCTTTACCTCCTCCAAATCAGAGCCATCAAATGTAAAAAAGTGATCAACATGAGATTTCTTTTTGGATGGCTCTTTATTCACTACGAGCAGTACTTGGTTACATAATAATGGGCCCACATCAATGGTTTCAATTTCACCAACTATTAAGTGATGTCTTTAGGGTTATTTTTGTATTGGTTGTCCACTAATGAAGGGAATGTCCTTATGGGTAGGTAAATCTTGTATGAATCAGCTAAGATAACCTTATCAAATCATTCTCGCTATTTCATCCTTGAGTTCCTTTCATGCTTTGATCATGTTCCCATAATATAGGTGGATTTGGAAATTTGCTACTAATTTACCATGTTTGATTTTAATGGTTTTGGCCATTTAAGAGTTTCCTTATCTTGGATGGACATACAAACATTCACCTATGATGTGTTGAGCTGTGTATAAACTCTTTCTCTAGCTAGGGCTCAAGTCATAATTGTGAAGGTTGAGGAGGCAATTACTATTCCCTTACTTTTTTCACTGCAATGTTGATTATTTAACCCTAATGCACTTTAAAAATTTCTAGTAAATTGTTAAATATGCTCCTAATGCATATTTATGGCTTCATTTATCGATATTTGTGCCTACACATGATTAATCTAGTCAACATATTAATGAAATGTGTCTTGCATTAGTACCGAGTAAGAAAGACCAGGAAGAACACCTTCAAGAAAAACTTATCCTAGCAAGATAGATTCTATCCCTGTGATTTGTTGAGCTTCAGAGTAGAACCTTTGGAAGTATGCCTTAATAGACTCTCTTTTATTTTGAAGAATCTCTTACTTGTGAGAATTATCCTTAACAATTCCCTGATTAGCATTAAATTGTTCGATAAATTTTTTAGCGAGGATAGCAAATGTGGGAATAGTCCCTGCCATAATAAAGTAGAATCTCATGTGAGCTTATCCTTTGAGAGAGAACTTGGTAGAGGAGTGCATTCAAGGCTCTTTGAATTTGCATAATAATTACATAATAATCAATATATTTTTTTAGGATCACAAGACCCATCCTAACAGTTTATGCTAAGTAATTTAAAACCTGTTGGAATTGGATTTTAAAAGATGGTTTTAGTTAAGCCTGTTAATTCCAAGAAGTCCTGAAAATAAGGGGTTTGTGTTCCACCCTTAAAGAGAACTCCACTTCAACCAGTCATCATAGTTCACATGTTGAGTATTGTACAGGATTTCAGTAGCGTAAGGTTGGGCCAAGTCCTAGATTATGGCCGGAGGAACAAGGGTTAATTAACTCGTGTAAGAGCGAGTGGTAAAGATACATATATCAATGAATTTGATGTCCTGGTGTGATAAAGGATTAACCCTTGAATGAGAGCAAGGGGGGTTCTGAATGAATATGTATAGGTTGAGTATTCCCAACCCATGGTAGACCTTAAGTGATATGGTCCCCTCACATTATGCTAATACTAACTGCCTAGTAGCTCAAAGAAGTTGAAGGATTTCATTTTGAGATTCCTACATTTTAAGAATGATGTTTTTTAGGGATGGACCTGATGTCTCTTCCTAGGGTTTTTTCCCACAGAGTTAAAAATAGGCAAATATATGGCATTCCTAATTCATAAATTGGTTCATGGATTGATGTATATTTGAACAGGAGGCTTCGTCGCATGATTATTAGACCTATTAGCCAACGAAGGGATATCAAGTGTGTTTTTAAGGGTGGGATTGTTTCTCACAGAGTACGACAAACTATTGTGGAATAATAAATTTATGGTGGTAGAGTGAATATATTTATTATTATTATCGATGTACCACTATCGAGCTCACAAATAGATAGTTGAGAGAGCAAGATAATACCATAAATCTTTTATAGTGAAAACCCAAAAAATGAAAAATGACACGGCCTTGCTAGGTGAAAAGATTCTACTATATATAAGTGAGTTACAATGGTTGACCCATCCTTTTACTTGGAGACAATGAAATTATAATTGTTTTGAAAGTTGGTCAAGCTTCATATGGTTACTCGGGAGTTCGTAATGACCATGGTCAGATGATGGAGGTCGGAAGTCTTGTTGTAGTGGCTAGAAGAAGGTCCAGCAAAGGTTTGGCTGTGGTAAGTGATCGAGGAGAGGTTGCAAAATGGCTAGCAACCAAGTGGAGGTTCAGTGATGGCCGGGTAGAAGGCCAATGGTAGTTGGCAGCTGGGAGGAGTTTCGATGGTGGTCAGCAATCGGATGGAGGTCTAGTGACGGTCAAGAGGAGGTCAGACCTATTGAAGTTTTCCTGCGATGGTGCATTGGTGGAATTCTAGGATTTTTGAAGCCTTAGTGCTCTCTCAAATCTATAGCCAAAAAATATGCTTCATATAGGGAGTGGAGGCGTATTTATAGTTATTTTTTCAGCAACATATCATGCAAATAAGAGAAAAATAAGAAGCAAATTTGGAGCTTTCCATTAGATGACGCGTATTGATTCCCTTGACAATAGATTATTCGTTCAACATTTGAGTGCCTTATTGTTCTCAGAATTAAGTGTTCTTAGGCTTGTTGGATTTGCCGTGTCAAGCCACTCGATGCTACTATAAGCATACTATATTTGGATATCATTTTATCAGCCAATTTTTATTTGAAAGCTTTAAAATATGATTCAGGACATCCATTTGAACTAATTTGGGCTCTGATAGGACTTGTTTTGATGTTGTTGGGCTCATTTGGTCGAGACGTTTTGTTTAACTATGTGTTTGCTGAAATCGGAGTTCATATGGTCATTGAATTTAATTTTGAAAGTTTTAAATTCAAATATGCATCAAGATCCACACCTGATCATGTCGACTTTTGGTGACATATCAAAAATATATAAAAAATTATTTTTTCTTAAATTTGAATTATTAAATGACGTTTAAAATATAAGATATGTAAAGAAAAGAATTCTATTATTTTTAAGTAGTGGTCTCTAAATAATCCGCTTTGAGGTAAAAATAAATTTAATTCATATCCCATCATTAATTTCAAATCATATTTATAGCCTAATGAAGGAGAGAGAGAGGAACAGAGTCGCTAAGGGTGTAAATAACAAATACTCCTGGCGTGGTACATAGGAACACAAACCCGTAGCTCTGCGAGAAACAGATATAAATGGAGAGGTAAGGGAGGAGCTAAAATGGAGGATAAGTGAGGCGAGGAGTGCAAACTACTCTGTTGTAAAAGCCTTTCATAAAAACCTTTATATAATTATCTGGAAGTCAGTATCTGTTCGCTCATCTTGGAACGAGCTCCTCTTCTTAGGCCCCTTTGCGACAGGAGAAATGACTAAATCAGAAGACTTCAAGCTGCTCAAGATCCAGGTAGCCCCAAAAACCGTCTTCTCAACCACCCTTTAACTTTATCTTCTTGGTCTGGCATCGGAGAAACAGATTGAATTTTTTTTTTTTTTGGCTCTCAGACTATTGTACTTAAGGTGAACATCCACTGTGATGGCTGCAAGCACAAAGTGAGAAAACTCCTCCAGAGAATTGAAGGTAGCTGTTCTTTCTACCTGTTCCCTTGTTCATTTTCCCCATTTATTTGGGGAGGTTTTGTTTATTTAGCTTAAGGAACAAGGTTTTTTTCTTGAAACGTTTTTTTTTTTTTTTGTTGAAGAGATTGCCTTCATCTTCTTTAATTTTAAGCTTGAATTTGCAAGTATTCCTATAAATGTCTTGTTTATATTCACAGTTTGGTTTGTTGGATGCCTTTATGAAATAAAGGATGTCATATTTGCTTATAAGATTGTTTTTCTGGTCATTGGATGGAATTGTAGGGTAGTTTTTCATAATGTCTCCTATGAAGTAGTGTTTTACATCAAAATGAAGTCCCAAGAAACTAGTTAATGTTGATGACACAAAGTTAGATCTTGTAGATCAGAAAAAATGCAATCTTTTCCTATATTGGTCTCTGTTTTCTTACTGCATAACCATTGCTTTTTTTTCCTTACCAAAGTAACACATTTGAATTGTGGTAAAATTCTTCCCAAAGGTACACAGTATTTTTTTTCTTTCAATTCTACTAAAATGCATTAAAAGCACCTCGATTTACAGATTTTGTGTCTGCAAATTAACTTTATTACATTTGAGAAAGTTTTTTGAGATTTCGTAGAACATAAATGTCTATTTCTATCTGCTCTCAAATAAATGATGGATTTATCAAGTTCCATTTTCTAGCAAAACCTGTTTTCTAACTTCAATAAAAAAATGTAGAATTCTTTAATTTTCTTCATCTGAGCATGCATCCAAATAAGGTGAGAGTAAAACAATTGTTTTATTTTTTGTATTTATTTGCAATGAAAGCAGGGGTCTATACAGTAAGCATAAATGTAGAAAACCAGAAGGTCACTGTCTCAGGAAATGTGGACTCTGGTACATTGATCAAGAAACTAGCTAGATCAGGTAAGCATGCGGAGCTTTGTTCTCAGAAACCCAATAACCAAATCCAAAAGATCAACAACCAAAACCAACAACAGAAAGTTTCTAACCCCATCAAAGAAGCCAACAAGAACAACAAGGAACATGGAAAACAAGGGCTCATGCAAGGCCTCAAAGATTTTAAAAACCAACACAGCCTTCCTGCAGCTTTTAGTTCCGATGATGATGATGATTTCGATGATGATGATGATTTTTATGATGATGATGATGGGGATGAGGGAGAGGCCCCGTTTATGGAGAAGTTAAAACAACTTAATTTAATGAAGCAAGCGAACAATACAGCAGCAGAAGCAGCTAGTAGTGTGAAGAAAAATGGAAATGGAAGTGGGAATGTGAATGGAAACAATGGAGGGGGAAAGAAGAAAGCTGGAATTAACCCAAATCAAAAGATTCCAAATGCTCCACAGCCCAAAGGCATCAATTCACAGGCTAACATGAACCCAAAGATGGGAAATCCTGCTGCCCACTTGCTTGGTGGGAACCCAGTAAATGGAGATTTAAAGAGAATGGCTATGATAAACAACCACAATGGCATGATGGGCATGGGATTTCAAGGCATAGGGAACAACAACATGCAAGTTAGAAACAACAACATCAATGGATTTGGCCTCAATCAGCATCAGCAAACTCCCATGATGGGGGGAATGCATGGCCATCAACCATCACCCATGATGATGAACACGAGAGGACCCTGCAACAACAATGGTATGATGATGATGGGTCATGATAATAGATACATGCAATTTCAACAGCCTCAAATGATGTACAACAAGTCTCCTCAGATCACGCCTTATACTGGATACTACTACCAGTCTTACCCAAGCCCTTATTATATCCAAAACCAGAAAGAGGTAAGTGATTTTGGTGTTCATCTATTCAACGATGAGAACACTAGCAGTTGTGCCATCATGTAATAAAGGATTTCAAGGGCTTTCTTATGCTTTCTTTAAGGGCTTGTCTTTCAGTTTGTAGGGCACTTTCTTCTGTTATTTTATTTTGTTTGTTGTAAGTGTGGTGATGTCTATTATGTGAAGCAGTGATTAATATCAAAATATTCATTGACTTCATCTTTATATTTTTTATAATTTGTTTGGGCCTCAAATTATGAGTGCCCATGTGCATCCAGTGCTTGGATAACTAAACTAATCTTTGAAAGGAACTTGAATTTGATGGCAGATTTTGTCCCTTGCTTTTCCTACTTTAATTAATAATGACTTTGGGGAATTGCTAGCTATCTAGCTAGGCAGACTAGAATCCTATGCGACAGTTATCATATTCAACTTTGCATAGGATATTTGCATAATGGTTATAAAATTATAAAGCATATGAAAAGAGAGTTGCCATCAAAAAGAAGTTCATTTCGTTATGGGAGTAGTGAACTAGTGGTAATTTTTTACTTCAATTGGAATCCTAGAAATGAATGTGGGGTAACGCAAAAACTTGTCTTTTCATCAAAAAAGGTTCTATCAAAAGACCCTAGGTTTATTGTTTATTTGTGATGTCTAGAGATGCGTCCGGGTGCCGGATTTAGAGATGCGTCCGGATTACTGTATACAATGCGGACGCTCTGCGTATATTCTACTTACACTCTGCTTATATTTTACATATTTGTAGATACACAGCAAAATAGCGGCAACTCCTCACAATTAAATATTTTATGTTTCTTTACTGCAATACGCAGTAAATATGCAGAGCGTAGGCAGAGTTTAAGCATAGAATACACAATATCCAGAGGTATCTCTAGATCCGATATCCACACCTAATAATTTCCCATCACATAGAGAGAGCCAAGCAGCCGACATCTATCAAAATTCATTAATATGCAGAGGACCACCAGGAAAGTCCATATGAAATTTTCATGAAAAAGTTCTCTCTCCAAAGCTTGTAGTACAGAATCATGTAATAGAATAAGTGCTTATGCTTAGAAAAATAAATTATTGGGTCAACTATATCACAATTCAGATCCAAGCTCCACATGCCTCAATCCCTTTGAATCAACATGTCTCTAATCAATATATAGTTTATTGGCTTATTGCTGTATTTTAAATTTTAAATTTACAAACCCCTGTCTCTTTTTATGGTCAACTTTACTCCAAAGGCCAAAGGACATATTATCAGAGGCATGATACAATTACCAAAGTTTTTGACCGAGATGAAAAGACAAATTTATCCTTCATTCATGGTAAGTCATATCATGTCGGTAACATACTTACCTTTGCTTCTTTTCTTTGAGGAATAACTTACCTCAGCTTCTCAACGAGAAATAAAAAGTTGATGATATTTTTGCATCTACGCATTAATTGTATATTTTTATACAGGGGTTTAAACTATTTAGACATGGGCGCTGCATTATGATCACAATGGATCTAATGGAAGACATGTGTTACTAATGCCCCGAGCCTAATCAACTATAACGAAAAATTATCAGTTGAATAGAATCCCGGCAATTTAGATCATCTGCATGTTGTGAATTTAACTTTTTTTTTTTTTTGAAATTTCCATTAAATATTTTACTCAGGTTGAAGTCGATGAGTCTATTAATTTAGATGGGTCTTAGATTTTGTTTGGAACACCTTTCTTACTATTTTATAAAGTAAATTTTTATATACACTTTTCTAGTTCAAAAGAATTGTGCTAAAAAATTCTTTTAAAAAACAATAAAAAAAATTGTCACAAATTAAATTTTAATCTCTCTTAAAGTAAAATAATTTTTATTCAATATATTAAATTAAAATTATAGCAAGGCATTGAAAGATATCAAAAAAAAAAAAAGGCATTGAAAGATATCTGAAGAGCAATAGCAATCAAAAGAAAGAAAAAGGAGCATGTAATATATACATAAAAGAAATTATGTTAGTGAAGAAAATGAATTGACAGCAAAGTTAACCGAAATCATTCTCAAATTCAATTGACGGTAAAATTAACCATAATTTGGATTATCAAACAGTTTACAAACATGACATGGTTATAGTCGAATCAAGCGGGTCGGTGAGAAGAATCCAACAAGCCCAGAATTGTTAAATTTTTATATCATTGGAGCCTTCAAATGTCTGATAAACGGTCCACGATCATGTGATTCAACATCGGACGTCCATTCAAACTACTCCCAATTTATCCCTGATCTTCCTCCTATTTACTAGTCATGCCATCCTCAAAAACTATAAATAGGCTCTCATTTCTCTTAAGAGGGGACCCAAGCAAGAAGGGAAGAGAAGAGAAGAAGAGAATAAGAGAAGGAAAGAAAAGAAAGAAGAAGCTCCTCCTCAACCACCGTCGGAGTTTCTCCTAACTTTTAAGTGATGTCAGAGTTCCGTCCGACCTCCAAGTGACGTCGAAATTCCGTCCGACGTCCAAGTGACGCTGGAGTTCCTCCCAACTTTCAAGTGATGCCGGAGTTTCGTCCGACCTCCAAGTGACGCTTGAGTTCCTACAGAGATTCACGTGACACTGGTGTTCTGTTCAAGTGACACCGAAGTTTCGTCCGACTTTGAAGTGACAATGGAATTCTGCCCGACCTCCAACTAACACCAAAGTTCTATTTGACTTACAAGTAAAGCTAGAACTCTTTCTAACAACCAACTGACACCAATTTTTTTACGCCAGCATTCTGATATTTGTTTGCAACTTAATTTTAATACGAGAGTTGATTAATGTAATATGATCGTTCTAAATTTTAAGGACGAGTCAGCTTCTTGTAACTTAAATAAACACTGGTGAAATTCTTTCAACTAGGCGTGGCACCATGGTTTTTCCCTTTATAGTGTTTTCCATGTAAAATTCCTTGTGTTTTATTTCTCTATTATTTTGTGTCGCAAGCACAATGGGAGGAGGTTCTTCTCCCCATGAGCTCCACCACTTGCCAAAGATGTTCAACTCAAACATCTTCAAGTAGAGATTTCTCTTCCTCCACTAAGGAGACATCCACAATCACATCAAGATAACAAACTTGCTGACACAACAAGTTCTACCATCCTTCGTACACAGGTCAACCACCATGTATTCCTCCGTACCTCCCAGAAGCCTTAGCCAAACCGCACATTACTAAGCTCCCTCATAATGCCCTATGTCATGAACTACCAAGATTGGATCATGAAGAGTTCCCCAGAGGAGGTGTAAGGAAAACTCTTCATCACTGGGACTTCCTGAAGTCATCGCCTCTAATTGAAACCATTCTTTAGCACCCTATTTTGGTTGGATTCAAACTACTGAGCATCGAGTCCTATGATAGGACATCTAACTCATACGAGCATATCGATCATTATAAAACCATTATGCACATCTAGCGAGCCTCTAATGCAATCCTCCGCCAGGTTTCCTGCTACCCTCAAAGAACAAGTTCAAACATGGATTTATTCACTTCTAGTTGAAATGATCCCTACATTCGTCAAATTGATCAAAGTGTTCATCGAACTATTTCTTGTCAATCGAAGAATTGCTAAGGATTCTTACCACCTCTTCTAGATCCGATAAAATGAAGAAGAATCATTGAAGGAGTATTTTCAGCAATTTTCAACCAAGGCTCGGCAAATTCTAGGAGTAGATCCTGAATTGCTGATAGGGGTCATTCTTAAAGGCCTCCTTTCTGGCCCTTCTATTCAGCACTTATGTGAGACTTAGTTCATTCATATACTAACTTGATCTTTTGTGCGGGGCCACAAATCTCTACAGATGAAGCCATAAATGCTCACAAAAAACAGTTTGAGCAAACAAATAGAAAATGCAAAAGTTTACCTTGGATGGATAGCTCATTCTCACAACAAAAGAAACAAGGAATGAATAGCTTGACTCTATTTCCATGACACGATTCTCGATAAGAAAAAGTTTATACACCTCTAAACATATCTCAAACCAAGATACTGATGGCCATTTACGATCATGAAAATTTTAAGTGGACTAATCCTTTGAAGCCAAATATAGGAAATCAAGATCAATACTGTTATTTCCATCATAGTCGTGGGCACACCATTGAATCCTATAAGCCACTCCAAAAAAATTGAGAGACTTATCTAACAAGGCTACCTTCGAAAGTTCATTCAAGATTCCCCTACTCAAGATGAGGCTCATTTCATTGGGGGAAAAATCAACAACAAGAAATGCAACCATTGAAAAATATTCAAATGGTTGGCGAAATTAAATAACCATGCAATTTGCGCCTTTGTGCTAGTTACTTATCATGTTTCATCATGTATCTCTTCTATGATAAGTAGGGTGTCACTCTAATGTCCCAAGTATTTTCTTCCAAGATAAATGAGGTGTTGTCCCTATATGTATCTCTTATGTGTTGAGTAAGGTGTAAATCTTATTTCCCTAAGACATACTAGGGACTTGTTGTATTTTCTTACATAATATGATAATTTGTTGCTTACTCTATTCTTGATAATAAAAAACTACTGATGAATATAATTTCTTTATTTATGATTTGAGAAATACACAATCTTTATTGTATATCAATCACTGGTTGATCAACTATAGGGGGATTTGATTTGACCACTTCCACATAGGTTAATGTTATCGAACAGGGCTCTGACATACAACCTCAGATAGATTATACATCCTTGGTGGATTCTCTAGAACTCTCTATATAGGTTAACGTCATCGAGCAGGGCTACGAAATATAATCTCAGATATATCATACATCCTTCATGGATTCTCTTGACCTCTTCCATAGAGGTCAACATTTTCGAGCAATGCTTTGAGTGGATAAAATTTTCTCTTAAAAATATTTCAAGAAAATTATTGATAAAATTATCACTCATATAAAAACCTTAGTAGTCTAACAATACCTCAAAAAATATGAAGGGCAATATATCAAAACATATGTCGAAGATGTATAAAAAATTCAACTTCCTCTAAGGGATGATTTTTCAACTTCATATATAATCTCAATGGAGTTGCATAAATCCAACATCAGATTCAAGTGTATGTCTATTCTTACTAGAAGTTGAAATCAAAAAATACATTTACATCATCCTAATAAGGATAAATGATGTTGGTACAATTCCGTATAAATGCATATTTCCTTTGCATAATGCTACTAAACACCCACAATCATCGACCCTTCGTCTGATGTATGCTGACGGTCCTTTACTTCATATCAGTCATTATCAACTTCTCGCTCAATAGGT